TATGATCTTGTTCTATAGTTTATTTTGCTCTTGCAGAAGTGATTACCGGTTGGCCATCATCTGGACTGATGTTTCATGGAAACAGTGGACGTTTGAAAGCTCTTCAGCCAATCTTCCAGAGGAGCATGTTGTGCGGTCGGTTCGCCCATAGTTAGCTGTGACCACCTTTATGTATCCCCAATCTGACACACAATGTCATTCAGAAGCTTATTATATGAATGATTTTGAGGTTTCAGCACACCTTGTATGAATAGATGAATTGCTTACCACAACCCAGTTGAACAGAGCCCCCTTCACAGGTGAAATATCGCTTCATTTCAATGCCTGGAGAAAGAAAAATGGTTTATTATGTATTGAAAGTAGCTTATTTAAAGGGACAGTTCACCCAAAAATGAAACTTCTGTCATTTACTCACTTTATACTTGTTCAAAACCTATTAGAGTTTTTCTGTTGTTAAACAAAAAAGAAGATATTTTTTAAAATGCTGGGGTCTGGCACCCACTGACTTGCAAAGTCATTTTTTTTCTATGTAAGTAAAAGGGTTCCAGCATTTTTCAAAATATCTTCTTTTGTGTTCAACAGTGGAAAGAAACTCAAAAGCACACGAGGGAGAGAAAATAATGAGATGATTTTCATTTTTGGGTGAACTATCTCTTTAAAAAGTCATAGTATTTATTATATTGGTAAAACAGCTCATTAAGACCTTACCTTGTCGGCACAGTAAAATAATCACTGCAAAAATCCAAAATAAAACATTTAGTTTAAAATATCTACATGGAAAATAATAGAAACTACATAATTTTCACACATAATATGCTGTATACTGTTAACAATTTCCTGTATAATTTACAGTAACTCAGTTTGCTAGCAATTTACTGTAAATCTAATTTATAGCAAAAATACTGTAATAATATCTACAGTACATTTTTCTTGCTGTACATGTATTTACAGCATTGTTTATCTTTACTGTAAAATATACAGTATTTTAGTACCTATGATATATTTTCATATAACAATAATAATCACTGTTAATTCATTATCTATATACTGTAAAACTGTATTTTTACGTTTTTACAGTATTTACTGTATTTACTACTTTCTATTTACTGTAAATTACCGTATGTCCCATGATTGGTTAAGTTCTAAGCTCAGTATTTACTATAGTTACTACTTTCTATTTGCTGTAAATTACCATATTTCTCAAGATTGGTTAAGTTTTAAGCTCAGTATTTACTGTATTTACTACTTTTTACTTACCGTAAATTACAGTATTTTCCATGATTAGCTAAGTTTTAAGCTCAGTATTTAACGTATTTACTACTTTCTATTTACTGTAAATTAACGTATTTCCCATGATTAGCTAAGTTCTAAACTCAGTATTTACTGTATTTACTACCTTCTATTTGCTGTAAATTACAGTATTTCCCAAGATTGGTTAAGTTTTAAGCTCAGTATTTACTGTATTTACTACTTTCTATTTGCTGTAAATTACCGTATTTCCCAAGATTGGTTAAGTTTTAAGCTCAGTATTTACTGTATTTACTACTTTCTATTTGCTGTAAATTACCGTATTTCCCAAGATTGGTTTAGTTTTAAGCTCAGTATTTACTGTATTTACTACTTTCTATTTGCTGTAAATTACCGTATTTCCCAAGATTGGTTAAGTTTTAAGCTCAGTATTTACTGTATTTACTACTTTTTGCTTACTGTAAATTACAGTATTTTTCCATGATTGGTTAAGTTTTAAGCTCAGTATTTACTGTATTTACTACTTTCTATTTGCTTTAAATTACCATATTTCCCATGATTGGCTAAGTTTTAAGCTCTTTTTTTACTGTATTTCTACTGTTTTGCAACATTAAAATACATTAAAATTCTGCATAACTGTCATACAGTAAATCGCAGTTACTGTGTAATTTAAAACAATTGTTAATGCTGTAGTCAAATTAGTGAAAAATGGAAAATAAACTACATAAAATGCCTAAGTAAAAAACAGTATTTTCCTGTAAAATTTACTCAAACTGTGAAATTTTAAAGGTTTTCTCTCTTTATTTAAAATTAACATGCTATTTAAGTTATTTTAAATGAAAGTTTTTAAATTAAATGAATATTTCAATAAATAAAACTGAAATAAACAGACTTACAGGAGATCCAGTGTATTTTTCGCAGCAGCATGGTGATTTGTGTGGAATGAGGAAGTAGCCTCGCTATTTATAAATTTTATCTCTGGAATAAAAATGAGCAGTGTATTGTCACTGATGTGTGTCAGGCTTGATGTCAAAGTCTGTTTGGCTTCAAATCAAAAACGTGCAGCTCGTCTGATTTTTATGGTTTCTTAAGAAAATGTGTTTGTTGAGCTGTTGAGGTGCTATAATTATCAGCAAGCCGGACTTTGTCATATTTACTGTATTGATTTAGTTTTGTGATCTTTGATTGCTATTTAAAATGCATTGCAGCCCAGAGCCCTGAAATGATTTGTCCTTTACAACATGATCACTTACTTGCAGATGATCTTTTGTAAATTGGATGTTTTCTGTTCGGCTTTATAATTATTTTATATACTGTACTAGCACAGTTCTGGTAATCAGTTATGTTTCCTGCTTGATCAAACTATTTAAAATGAGCTGAAACAACACAATTCTTCTATTTCACTGTAAAACCTGATAAGTTAACTCAAACTGTTGCGGCAAACCATTTATGTTTTGAAACTAAATGTTTTGAGTACTGTAAACTTATGTATATATTGAGTGATATACACGTATATAATTTGTGTTGTTATCATCAAATATTCAGAGTTGTAGTAATTTAAACATGTTCAGTTGTCAAATTGATATGAGTTCAGTTAATAGAACAAAACAAAGTCCAAACATCTATAGAGTTACTCAAATTGTTTGGTATTGCATTAAAGTTAACACAAAAAATCTAATCAACTAATTCATAACTCATTTGGTTTGAGTTCTGCTTAGTGTAATCAGATATTAAGTTCTCTTTTTCATTAGGTCAAAGTATTTTTTTTATTATACTAATTTTATTTAGGGATTTTCACTGTTGGGTTTTACAGTGATTTTTATGATCAATTCACTTAAATTTGTAAAAACTAATAATTTAATTTAATTCCTTCATGATGACACAACACAAATCCAATGTATGGAACCCAGCATTTCTTACGATTGATGAACTGCTTACAAAACAAAAGTGTATGGCAAAGAATAACCTAGTATTGCAGTTCTATACACCTGCTTATGGCCTACAATTAAAACAATACTCAGGGTTATGCTCTTTTACTCAAGTGTGTAAATAGAAGAAGTACACTTAATTATATACTTTCATTCATTCATTTTCTTGTCGGCGTAGTCCTTTTATTAATCTGGGGTTGCCACAGCGGAATGAACCGCCAACTTATCCAGCACATTTTTTACACAGCGGATGCCCTTCCAGCCACAACCCATCTCTAGGAAACATCCACACACACACATTCACACACACACACTCATACACTACGGACAATTTAGCCTACCCAATTCACCTGTACCGCATGTCTTTGGACTGTGGGGGAAACCGGAGCACCCGGAGGAAACCCACGCAAATGCAGGGAGAACATGCAAACTCCACACAGAAACGCCAACTGAGCCGAGGATCGACGCAGTGACCTTCTTGCTGTGTGGCAATTATATACTTCATGTAGTAAACAAACTAACATCCATTTGTAGTATGGATGAAATTGTCCCACATTTTAGTATATAAAGTATACTTTTAAGCGTACTATGAGTGTATCAGTAAACTCTAGGTGCACTGTAAAAACAATACGTAATTTTACAGTTTATTGAGGGAGAAAAAAAACGTTTTACAGAAATTTAAAATAAAGGTTGAATTACAGAAATTTCTGTAATTTAATGTCCATTATTTTATAGCAAATTTCTGTAATTAAAGGGCCGTTATTGTACTTTTTTTTTTTTGGCACCCCAGCTCCCGGAATAAACCGTAAAATGATATTTTTTTGCAGTGTGCACAATCATGTTTTTCATTTACTGCAAGTAAACTTGAGGCGTATAGCTACTAATAGCCTACTTTATGTGTAAGTCTTTTAACTTTAGCTACCAGCACGCCTACTGCAGTGCAGGGCTGTTGGGATATTCTTACACTGTACACCGTCATTTAGCTTTTCAGAACTTCTTTTTTTGTGAAATATCACAGAATTTTTTTTTTAAATCATTTAGTTCTAAAGTGAGGTGACTTTTTTTTATTTCTTGGCAAAAACAAGTTGTTCTAAATGATTTACTCATTCGACACTTGGAGGAGTGTTTTATGTGTTGGGTTTAGTAATGGAAACCATTTTTAAGCTCTTGGGATGTGGGAATTATTTCATCATATTTTATTCATACATTTATCATTGAACCAGTGCTTTAGTTTAATTTAGGGCTCTTGTGACTTCGTCTGTTCTGCTGTTTTTCTATTTCCTGTTTCTGAGCACTGTCTTCCTAACCATTGAACATGGTGTTTATGATTTGTGTTTGGGTGTTTTAACATTACTTCAGTTTTTTATTTCTACTATTCAGTCTCCAATTTTAATGCTATTGATAGCTTTTAACAACAAAACTTTTTATCCCTCTCTATGGCCGTAGTTTGTGGGGTTGTTTCACTGTATTAAATCAAATATGCTAAACATGAAGAGTTTATT